ATATGCTTTTTCAGTTTGCCAGTATTTTATTGAGTATTTTTGCATCAATATTCATGAGTGAGATTGGTCTGCAATTTTCATTCTTGGTTGAGTCTTCATGTGGTTTTAGTACTGATTACTCTTTTCATTCTTGTGCTTTTTATCTTTGCTATTGTGCTTGCTTCTTCTTTTCCGTCCACTGCCTTTGCTACACCCAGACTGAAGCTTATAAGTTGACAAAAGTGAGCTGGAGCTATATGGCCCCCATACCTCTTGCATGCCATCAGAATTTTCATATTGGCGTCCGGCACAGACCTTGAAGTGATATCTTGAATTTGCAAGATAGTTGGAAAAGGAAAAGGTGGTATTCGGTCCTTTGTAAATCTAAAGGAAAAGGGATCAAATGAAAATTACAGTTTTTTCCAATTAAAACTATATTGTATAGTTTTTTACAACAAGAAAAACAAAAATTCCTTATTTTAATGAACATGTTGACAACAAAAGTAAAATTTTACTCAGTGTTTCTAATGTTCTGAGGGTATTCAGTATTTATTAGATAATTATGTTTAATAAAGCATAAAATCCCTACAACTGTTGAGAATTAATTATTTCATGTCTGGACTTGAACATGGATTGTGGTCAGTGGAATCAAGAACTACTACATAATTCAATGGTGATGAGCTAATTAAATGAATAAGCTAGATTATGTACATAAATATTACAGGTCAGATGAGACTTTGGAATACTTTAAACCCCTTTGAAAGTAACATACTACCCTCTAAAAGCTCTAACCTCAACTGTACATAGAACTACAGTATTTTTTCAAGATAGGTTTTCTCTGTGTAGCCCTTGTTGTCCTGGAACTTAATCTGTAGACCAAGCTGACCTAGAACTCAGAGATCTGCCTTCCTCTGCCTCCCAAGTGCTGGGAACAAAGTATGTGTGCCCATCCCCCAGCATACTTTTTTTTTGTCAACAATCCAAGACCTCGTAGAGCCCAGGATACCCTCAGACTTGCTATGTAACCAAAGAGTACATTCATCCACCTGTGTTTACCCATAAAGTGCTGAGGCTACAGTGAGGAGCTATCATGCCTGGCAGAATATTAGAGGCTAAATGTGAAAGAATATACCTGTTCAACTTTATTCCCAGTGAAGACCTGAAGAGAGTAAACAATGGGATCACCTTTAATTGGCTCCATGGAATCCCATTTGATTTCACAAATGTTGCTATTCAGTGGATGTAATTTAGGGGCTGGAAAAGGAAAATTGCATTTTAGAATATTCTGTGTTTTTCTAAATGATGCCGAATACATCAAAATGACTTAAACCACACAGTCGTTACAAGCACATGTAGACCTAATATGAGAAACATGTAACCATCTTTAAGAAAGATATTTATGTTGTATTTTGAGAGATGGTTTTCCTGTGTAGCTGTGGCTGATCTGGAATTTCCTATGAAGATCAGACTAGCCTTATGCTGGCATTAAAGGTGTACATTACCACACCCAACAGAACAATACTTATTATCGAAATTACTTTTGTTATACCATCAGTCATCATTATTGTAGCAAAACCTTGATGAAGTTATATATTAATAATGCATGATTGTATTTTCTATTTATATTTATATTAATTTAAATTTTGGCTTCTCCTTTTATAATAATCTGCATTGTGTTCATGTGGTATATTTTACATTTAGAAACATTTTCATAAGGACAAGTAATTACATTTTAGGGGTGCGACAACAGTGTGAGGTCAGAAGGAGCACACTATTCGTTTCATGTTGTCAGTCTCTACATTTTAAGAAAATGGGGATTAAACATGTAGGGACATTAGTCAAGAAAAGAAGAAAGCATTATTGTCATCTAGGCAGAATTAATTTAATTTGAATGTGTTTCAGTTAGCATTTCACTGGAGAAGAATGATTTCATATTAGTGATTGAACTTGGGAACTAGAGAGATGGCTCAACAATTAAGAGCATGGGCTGTGCTCTTCCAGAGGACCCAGGTTCGATTCCCAGCACCTACATGGCAGCTCACAAGTATCTGTTATTCCAGTTCCAGGGGATCTGCTATCCTCACACAGGCATACTGGCAAGCAAAACACCAATTCACATAAAATAAATGAAAATTAATAGTGATAGAGTTCTTGTGGAAAGATTGAATCAACCAACCATCACAACTGGGAGAGGGAAAAATAATCCTCAAACCCAAGGTTCTGGGACCTGCCAACTTGGACTCATGGTTAGTTGATACATAGCACTTAGCTTCTGATTGTAACATGCCCTAGACCTTAGAACAACTGAGTTAAAAGTCCATAGTTCTGGAAAAGTCTCTAAATGTCCTAACTTTGCCTTTTGGCTTCTATAGTTTCACTTCTGGCTAACTGTTCTTGTTAACTGAAGTATGTCAACCCAGTGCATGGTTTTTGTGCTTCAAGCCCACCTTAAGAAAGGCTCAGTGCTACAGTAAGATCCCAAACACCTAGTATAGTTTTGGGCCTGAATACTTATAACAATCCGTTTATGAAAATATAATGTGTAACAATGAATGGATATGACAATGTGGGCAGCACACCATTCTGGAAACCAAGAGCCTGTTTGTCGCCTGCATATTGGCATGGGCACCAGTGTGTATGCTGGGTGCTCACAGAGGTGTGAGAGGGAAATGGATTTTCTGGAACTGGATTTACAGATGGTCGTAAACCACCAAATGGGTGATGGGAACATAACCTGGGTCCTATGCAAGAGCAACCAGTGCTCTTAACCTTTGAGGCCTCTCTTCAGCTCCATGTCTTACTCTTAAAACCTACAGTGCTGATATCTAAGATATTTGAAAAATATTGATGGCAGCAGTTTTATTAATCCTTTTAAATTTTTTTTTGAGAGAGTTTCTCAGTACAATAGTCTTGGCTGTCTTGGAACTCACTCATTAGACCCGGCTGGCCTTGAATGCAAAGACTCGTTTGGCTCTACCTCCCAAGTGCTGAGATTAAAGGTGTGTGCCCCCACCACCAGGCTTGTAGTCTTGATAAATCTTTTCATTGCTCCTTAAGTACACCATTAAGAACTACTTTTCTGATATCTTATTAGTGAATTTTAAAAATCACTGCTGCTAATTTTAAGATTTAATTTAATTTAAATTTTAAATTATTTACATATTTTATGTGTGGGGGTGTTTTGCTTGCATATATGTATGTCTTCACTATGTGTGCCTGGTGTCTGTGGAGGACAGAAGAGGGCACTAGATTCCCTGGAACTGTAGCTATAGATGGCTATGAGATGCCATGTAGGCACTGGGAATTGATCCCGGGTCCTCTGGAAGAGCATGCAGGGCTCCTAATGACTGAGCCATCTCTCTAGCCCCAAGATTTAATTTAATTTTATTTTTACAACTTTTTTCCTGTTTCATGAGACTGGGTTTCTCTGTAGCTTTGGAGCCTGTCCTGGAACTTGCTCTGTTGCCCAGGTTGGCCTCGAACTCACAGTGATCCGCCTGCTTCTGTCCCGCTGAGGGCTGGCAATAAAGGCGTGAATGACCACTGCCCCACAGTTTTTTATAATTTATTCATTATTATTTTATGTGCATTCATGTTTTGCCTCCAGGTATTACCATACAAGGGAGCCAGATACCCTGAAATGGAGTTACGGACAGTTGTGAGCTGCCATATAGGTGCTGGGAATTGAACCCAGGTGCTTAGCAAGTGGAGCCAGGGCTCTTAACCTATAAGCCTTGCCACTTAATTTAATTTTTAAATCAGCAAAAAAGTAAGAGACTTCCTTATGGCGTTTTCATATGTGTTGAGTTTGTGTAGGTTCCCCATCAGCTGTGCATCTCAGTTTTCTGCTCCGTCTTACTACTTGTACTCTTCAACCTCCTGAATCCCCTTCTACTTTAATGTCATATGTGTTTCATGCCCTTTCTACCTCTTTCCTTAGAGTCTCCCCTAGTCTTATGATTTCTACTTTCCTCACCTCTATCCATACTGACTCTCACCTAAATACATTTATATAAAATTTAGAAGTCAGAATTCCCATGAGAGAGTGCATGTGGCATTTGTGCTTCTGAGCCTTGCTGCCTCTCTTGACTTAGCATTTTCTAATTACTGCTTATATGTATGTGCTGAGGAAGCTCTAAGAAAATGTTCAGCATCTGCATGCATCATTTACCTTTAAGTGCACCAGGTGGGGTTTTTGTTGTAGTGAAAGTGTAGACATCAGACTGTGGTCCCTCACCAGCTTCATTACATGCCTGGATTTTAAACTTGTATTGTGTATATTCACTCAATTTTTGCACTTTGTGAGTCAGATCAGGCCCATGGTAAATGACAGAAAATCTGAGAGGAAAAAGATAAAGATTAGGGAAGCAATGTTATAATCAACAGTTGAACCCAAGAAAGTCAAAACAAGCCAGAAAGGGAAAACAAAGAAAAAGGCAAAAAGAAATCAAGTCACAAGATCAATACTGTCAGGGTGGCAGGCTTTCTCTCTTTCTTCCAAAACTTCTTTTCTCTGGTACTTACATTGCACTAGGTAAAGGAAAAGTGGTTAGGAAGAAAGGAAAATACACAATTTATCCATGGACAAGGACTGAAAGTATTGGTGTTGTTGTTTTCATGTCGACGTCATACACTGAAACTACAGATTTCAGTGTGTGTATGTGTGTGTGTGTAAGAGAGAGATAGAGAGAGAGACAGAGACAGAGAGAGATAGAGAATGGCTGGCAAGATACAGCAGTTCAAAGTGTTCTAATTACAATAGACTTTAAATGGTAAATAGGTTACCTGCCAGGTTGATCCTCCATTAGTAATTTGTAGCTCATAACTTTTTTAGCATGTGATTTTTTCCGTGATGCATTCCCCCATTTGAGTCTGAGACTCTGGTGTCCTTGGACCACACAATCAAGCTGTGGAGGCGCGGGTAGTATTGGTTTGGTTTTGCTTCTTATTGATGGGCTAAAAGGACTTAGTCCGTAATGATTAATAGCTTGAATTCTGATTCTAGTGGTAAAAATAAATTAAAATATATGAATTTATATTTAGTAGAGGAAATACTGTTCTTCATATAAGCCAACCCACTCTATCTCTATATAGAATGACTATTATACTGATTACAAGATAGGTTTCCAAGGTAGAACTAATATTGAAAACTATTGATGAGAGGCAGAAATGTTTCTTACTAATATGAAATTTCACCCATGAGGCAGAACTTTTTCAAAAGAAATCTGAAGTATATTAAATACACAAAAGCAGATCTGCTCAAAATTCTCAACATTCCACGTACCCAAAATAAGATATGAGTGACTTACCTGTATGTAGTATTAGGCTGTAGGTTTTTCAGAACATACTCTGTTACTCTATCAACAGTCAGGATTTTTTTATCTCCATACTCGATGTTATATCCAGTGATGGGAGAGCCACGGCAGTCAGGCTCCTCCCATCGGATAGCTATGCAAGATGAAGATAGTTCGGCAGGAACTTTGTCTTCAACTTCTTGTAACATTGGGACTTTGGCGGGTACAGTTCCCGGTGTAGTTACTTTTCCAGTTCCTCCAAACATTCCAACCCCAACTATATTGACAGCCTGACAAACACATGCAACATTTGTTAGCAATTCATTTTGATGATTTTCTGTGCACGAGCCATTTTGTTGCATAACGAAACAGTGCATCATAAACTCATATTTTAACAATTTGGTTCTACATTGGAGAAATACATGCTGAGACTTGCAGTCTGTGTTTTTAGGAAGGTAAAGAGTGCACACAAGAGAAGGAAAGTCAGGAGTGTTATACGGACATTTTAGATAACTAACCCTCACAAGACCCATCAACTATGACACTAAGCTTTTCTCCATTCTTCTTATCACTTTTATTTATTCATTGTTAAGGGACAGGTACTTGTTATGTTGCTCAGATTGGACTGAAACCTCTAGACTTAAGGGATCCTACCTAGCATTTCAGTCTCAAGGAGTTGATACTACATGTATGTGCCTGGTGGTTTATGCTTTTACTTAGTGTTTTATTGTTTCATTCTAGAAAGAAAGATGTAAACTCACTGCTAATTTCTCTTTAAACTCGTTGAATAATTCTGCTGGAAATTCTAATTGTGTTTATTATGTAGACACAAATTCTTTCATAACTACAGGGCTACCCATCACCTAGGTTTCAGTGCTTTGTGATTTTTGAGGACCAGTTTTACTTCTAGTGTTCATGTATAAAAGTGTTCTGAGTTTGTAAAAATAATGCTGTTGTATTCCAGAAATCAGTGATTTGTGTCCATCCGTTTTTAGTGCAGATGAACCCATGGCCTCTCACACTGATCACCCCAGCTGCTCTATTGTTTTCATCCTTGTCAGTTTTATAAGAAGTTTTTTTTTAAAAATTTTCTTGTTTTTTTTTCTAGTAAATCAATCAATGTTTTATTGAATTTTACTATTGTTTTTTATTTGTTGATTTCTGACCATATATTTCTTGTTCTTTCTTTCTTTCTTCTTGCTTTTCCTTTATTTTGTCATTCTGTTCATTACCTGATGTAGAAACAGATTACTGAATCGAGTTCTGTGGTAACCTAAGCATCTAATGTTCTGAGTTTTTTTCCTCAGTACTGTTTTAGTTCATCCCACTCATTTTGGCAGGGTGCATTTTGATATTCATCCTGTTCTGTACATTTAAAGTTTTTCTTTGAGATTTCAGCTTTGACCATTGAAAATATGAAACTGTATAATTAAATTTCTCTCTGATAAACATTTATGATGTCTTTTTATATTGATAATTTGATTCCACTGTGGACAAAGAACACTCAGTATTAAACTTATCACATTAAATCCTATAGAGTGCCATGCATGGTGGCACATACCTACAATTCCAGTACTTGTTTGGTGGAGGCAGAAAGATCAATAGTTCAAGGCCAATCTAGGATACATAGAAAGACTGACTCTTTTTAAAGAAAAGTCAACTGGGCAGTGGTGGCGCATGACTTTAGTCCTAGCACTTGGGAGGCAGAGACAGGTCCATCTCTTTGAGTTTGAAGGCAGCCTGGTCAACAGATTGAGTTCCAGTACAGCCACGGCTACACAGACAAACCCCAGCTTGAATTAATAACCACATCCACCACAAGAGAAACCAAAATAAAGAAAAAGACAATGGTATGACTGGCTGTAAATAAGACCCAGTGTAGGTTGCTTTTAAGAAACTCATGTTTCTTCTAAGAATATATATAAAGTGAATGTAGAAGTATAGAATAAGATATTTTGTGCAAATGTAATCTGAAGCAAAGCAGGAATAGCTGTACCTATATCAGAAAAATGGCTTTCAATCAAAAGGATATGAAGAAACAGTGTGTCATTGTTTAATGACTGATAAAGGCCTGTTGTGAAATTTTGGAGCACCTTTATATACAGGTGATTTGTGATTAACTGAATTGGAGAGATCCCAATGCAATAACAGCTGGGGACTCCAGCGTTCTATTTTTAGTAATAGACAGATGATCCTAAAAGAATATTACCAAAGGAAGAGCAGAATGAAATCATGTCCTAAAGCAAATGTGCCTAACAGCTGCAGATTTTTCCCAAAATATTTTTTTTTTGTGGTAGTACGTCTCACTGAGTGCCTGAGTATGGTGAATCGGTGTTCTTTCACAGAGTTCCACATCCTATTCATCCAATTAAGCAATATTTAAAATATTTAAAAACTCACTTTTTAATTAATTTTTTTCTTTCTGGGAAAAGTCTATCACTGTGTAGCCCGGGCTAACCTGGACTTTGTGATCCTCCTGCCTCCTTCTCCCAAGTGTTGGGATTCTGACTATGAACCACCATGTTCAGCTTTGCCTGCTTTCTTTTTCTTTCTTCCATTTTGGTAGGGCTGAGTAGTACTGAGTATGTACCCCAGGTCCTTTGCACATGCTAGGCAAGTGGCCTAATGCTAAGACTCACATACAGCCCTATGCTATTGTGATGGATTAAATTTTACAGAGAGCACATGTCAGATTATTTTAAGTTTGTACTTCCTCCTACAAACTTTTAAGTTGCACATATTATTGTTCTAGTTTTTCACACACACACACACACACAAAAAAAAAAACCGGGTCACTTCCAGCTTGTAAATGGGAAGCATTTATTCCAGAACTGGCTTTTGAGGAACAAGATAGGCAGAGGGGCACACTTCCCAGGTGGAGTGAATTTGTTTGGAATAAAAATTATATAGAGGTTTTCTTAACCGTGATAACTGTCAGTTAGAGAGCAAAAACATGCCTATCTTATTTTGAAGGCAACCTCATTCTAACCTGAGGAGATCCCTTTTATTTAATTAAAGCATAATTATGTTCTTTCTCACTCTCTTCTCTCCAACCCCTCCTATGCTCCATTCCTTTCATATCCATGGCCTACGGTTGTTTATTGCTGCTACACACACACACACACACACACACAATACACACACACACGGGGGGGGGGGAGAGGTACACACACATATATGCAACACTAAATGCACTCAAATGTTGAATTTGTGTGTGTGTGTGTGTGTGTGTGTGTGTGTCTGTCTGTCTGTTTTACAGTGACCAGTTGGGATTGCACTTAGGTCTTATCCCTGGAAAAAAATGTCTCTCCCTCTAATGGCAGTCATAATAGCCTGTACATTTAGGAGTGGGGAATATGGGATTTCCCTCATCTATGTTGACATGTCAATTGGTATCATTGTGCAGGTTTTGTTGGAGCAGCCCTATTAGCCCCTTCTGTCAAGCAATTGACAGTTTACAATTTCCCAAAGGCAAAGCCACTAATACCATTCCCACACATTCTAGTTTGAGAACACCATCCCATCTAAATGATCAGGCCATTCTGCACTTTGCCCACTGAATATCCTCTTCCACAAGCCCTATAAAAACCCTAGACTATATAAGAGAAGTTTGCTCTATAATTCTTTTCTGAGAAGCGCCCTCAGTTTTAACTGAAATAAATGTGTCCTTGTCTTGTCTTCTTCATCTTTGATCAGGCAGACCACATAGTGTGGGACAAATGTTGTCCAAATAATTACCTGACACCTCCCTCAAAGACACTTTTGCAGTATATTCCAATACTCAAATACCCATTTTCTCCTGTGGGTCTATGGAGACTCAGACATATTATCCTTTGTCCCTGGAGACAGACTGCCTCATTCCCAGAACACCTTCCCACCAAATATCATTATCCTCTCAGCCCTTTCTGGAACCTCATTAAAGATGCAGCTTGGTATGCCTCATCTGCATCCTGAAGGACAAGGAGGACTGAAGGCATCCTCTCTTACCCCTTCCCAGTCTGCCCCTTGTCTTGCTACTCTCCCTCCCCCTCAGAAAGGGGTCCTTACTTGCATACCTTAACCAGACTGTATTAGAACCCAGCAATCCTGTGAAGTCCCCTAACTCCTCCCTATTCTTTTCATGTTGGGCACTGACTCACAGATATCCACCTGCTTCTGCCTCCAGAATACTGGGATTAAAAGTGTGTTCCGCCAAGCCCAGCCACTCAACACATCCTTTCTCTTCAGTCTGGTGAACTCCTTAGACTAATCAAACTGTCAAACCTTTAAGAAATCAAGACCAAAGCCTGATCCCTCAACTTCCAAGTAAGAGTTCAGCTTCCAAGGAAGAGGTCGCTGTCCTGAGTTCCCTTCCTCATGTCCCAGGCTTACCTCAAACCTGTGGCAATCCTCCTCTTCATTTTCTAAAATTGTGGGAATATATGCATGTACAACAGCCCTGACTCAAGTCAGTGTTTTAAATAAACATTTTAGATAATTGCTAAGTTAAGAGAGATCTGAAAACCACAGATGTATAAAGGAAATATGACAGATCAAGTGGGAATGGAAAGTACACTAAATGCTGTAGTCAAAGATAAGCAACATTCTTAGAAATCCTTCCCTTCTTGA